TTAGAGATTGCGTACCTTCTTTTTCATGGACAAAGACTGCGCTTACCGCAACTTTGGAGACTGTTAGATACACAAGTAGACATTCTCCCGGGTCCATTTTAACGAGTAGTGGTGGCGAGGATAGATATGCTTTCAGCTTTCTTAGGGAGTCGACACATTCTTCATTCCATTGTAGTCTGTGGTCTTTCCTTAGCACATTGAAGAATTTGTGACATCTATCCGAGGACCGTGAAATAAACCTTTGACAGTGTGGCTACTCATCTTGGCAGTTTCTACACCTGCTTTTTGCTAGTCAGTATCACTGGTATAGCATCGATGGCCCTGATCTGATCCGGGTTGACCTCAATACCTCTCTGTGATACTAGGAAACCAAGGAACGTTCCCGAAGTTACGCCGAAGGCACACTTTTCGGGATTCAGTTTCATTCCGTATTGCCTTAATATCTCGAAGGCCTCCTTCAGATGGCTAATATGGTCCTATTTCTTTGTCGACTTTACTAGCATGTCATCGATGTAAACCTCCATGGTCTTTCCGAGCTGTTCCTTGAACATCTTGGTAACTAGTCTTTGATATGCGGCCCATGCGTTCTTGAGTTCGAATGACAATACCTTATAGCAATATGTCCCTTGGTGAGTGATGAAAGTTGTTTTCTCTTGATCTTCTTCGGCCATTAGAATTTGATTATAACCAGAGTAGGCATCCAAGAAGCTCAACAGTTCATGCCCCGCTATCGCATCGATGAGCTAGTCGATGTGGGCCAACGGAAAGGAGTCCTTCGGGCATGCTTTGTTCAGATTGGTGAAGTCGACACACGTCAGCCATTTCCCGTTCTTCTTTTTGACCATGACCACATTGACAACCCATTGGGGGTATTTTGACTCTCTGATGGAATCGTTAGCGAGTAGTTTATCAACCTCTTCATTGACTGCCTCATTGATGGCGGCGTTGAACTTCCTCCTTATTTGCCGTACTGGCGGATGAAGTGGATCAACATTCAGCCTGTGTATGGTGATCTCTCTTGGGATTCCCGGCATAACTGAGTGGGAAAAGGCAAACAAATCGGCGTTGTCAGTTAAAAACTCACGATATTTACCTGGTTCTGTGAGGTTGTGTCCAACATAAGCCTTTTTTGTGCTGTCGATATTGTCCAACTAGACGGGATCGAGATCCTTTACGGTTGCCTTGCAAGCTTCTGCGATGTCCGTGTCTTTGATAGCTTCTACTTGTACGTCGGGTCTGGTTCTCGACATGGCTGATTGCGATGCCTCCGCACTAGCCCCTTTTAGTTGTTTGGTGTGTGCGCAATCTTGGGAGATCTGGTATCATTCTTGGGCGGCGAGTGGCTCGCCTCGGATGCTGAATATCCCCCATGGGGTGGAAAATTTGATTACTTGCTAAAAACTTGATGGGACGGCCCATATGGCGTGTATCCATGGATGTCCTATGATGGCATTGTAGGTTGTTTCCTGATTCATGACGTGGAATATCGTTTCCAAGGTGACCCCTCCTACCAGGACGGGTAGCATTATTTCTCTAGATGTTCGCTCCATTGTATTATTAAAACCTGTTAGTGTTATTCATCGTGGTACTATTTTATCCTCGAGTCTCATATGCACAAGAACTCGCGGGTGAACAATACACATGCCGCTTCCATCATCCACCATTATTCTTTTTACATCGGTATCTGCAATGCGTAAAGTTATAACCAAAGCATCATACTGAGGGAAAGACAAACCGTCGGCATACGACTTATTGAAGATGATACTGCCTTCGAGGTCGTCATATCGTTCGTGGGCAACTGTCCGTTTGAGTTTATGTGTAGTGGTGAATTTCACTTGGTTGATCATCGTATCGTCGTCGCCGCTAATGATCATTTGTATGGTATGAGTTGGTGATAGTGGCTTTGGAGGTCCTTGAGGTTGATTGCGCCCTCGAGCGAAGTTGGCCCGTCCTTTATTGCTCAGTAGTTCTTTCAGGTACCCCTGGTTTAACATCCTCACTACTTCTCATCGCAGACCTATGCAGTCTTCGATTTTGTGTCATCTCTCCTTGTGGAACTCACACAGGACATTCGACCTCCTGTTACTTGGATCTGATTTCATCTTTTGCGGCCACTGCACCTTCATGCCCAGCTTTTCCAATGCGTACACTATCTCTGAAGGGGAAACACAAATATTATGAGCAGATAGTAGTGGAGGCATACCTTTTTCGTTTCAGAGAGGTGCAGTTTATCGGGGCGCGACATCCGCATGTCGTGGAGGGGTGGATTGGATGTTCGGATATAGGGTTGATGCCTTTCTCGATTGAAACGTGGTAGTTGATCCCTTTGCCTGTCATTACGTCGATCTCTCCTTGTCTTGGTCTGGACTGATGTTAATCGCTGAAGAGAGCCGTTCAGGTCGTCCTCGTCTGCCCTCACTTTAGCGCAATAGGCATTGTGGATCTCTTCCCACGTGGTAGGGGGTACTTCATAAGTCTATTGAGTAGTTTTTTGTTTGCTTTTGATCCGTTTTTGTTTAACCCATTTTGAAAGGCTGCTACTGCTAGGAAATCCCGAAGTCCCTCGCCCGTCATTTGCCTGATGGCAAAGATATCATTAACCCTAGCCTCAGTCTTCTTTTCTCTCGCGTGCGCGGTGGTGAATTTATCCGCCATCTCTTCAAACGTAGATATGGATCGTGCTGGCAGTTGGCAATACCATGTCAATGCTCCCCCCGTCAGAGTTTCGCCGAATTTTTTCAGCAGCACAGACGGTACCTGTTCTTTTGATAGATCATTACCCTCTACTGCGGTAACGTAGTGGATTAAGTGATCCTCCAGGTCAGTGGTCCCGTTGTATATTTTCAAGTATGACGGCATTTTGAAGGTCTTTGGAATAGAATGGGGAGCTGCCCCTTCGCTGTATGGATGTTCGACGAATCGGCCCACATTGTGTTTTGGTAATAACTTCGGAGCGCCTGGTATTTTATCAACCCCCTCCTGATGTTCTTTCATCTGGTCGCAGAGTATTTTGGTCTCACTTTCCATCTCTTCCATTTTCTTTAAGATGGAAAGTGAGTGTGTCGTCGCCTTTATCAACGACAGTACGGGTGTTACTTGTTCGTGCATCGTCTGGCTCATCGGCAGCAGCTGTAATTTCTGTGGATAACGCGTCTTCGATACCTCCCTGAATGGGTTTCTCGAGCATGTTGCTCAAGGTGCTCGTTAACCATTCTTCTAGTAGCCTCTTGACAGCTGGCGGCGCTTCTCCTGCCGCGGATGTTGAGGTTCCCCTCCCGCGCAAGATCGTTAGATCCCCGGGGGAGGAGGTAAGATCTCCCCCTCCGGTGTAATACTTGGTGTTGCATTCTCATTGTCTTCTCCACTGGCTTCGTTGAGGGAATTCAAGAGGTTGTTCGTGACATCCACTACTGCCTTTAGCCTCGTTTCTCCCTTTCCCGCCATCGCTGGCTTTATTGAAGCTGAAGAAAAGTGATTATTACTTTCAAGAATCTAGATGAAAACTACAATTTCAGCTATAGAAATCTCCACAGACGGCGCCAAATTGTTTGACTCAAAAGATATCAAAACCTTTTTGAACAAATCAATCAAAAGATGAAGGGGTAAATCTTAACTGAGGTTAATAATCTCTAGAAAAATTGATAGAGAAAGAGTATATAGATCACAAGTTTTCTTTTTATTCATGAATAGTAATGTTTCCAAAATCCCCCTACCCATTACAAAGTTATTGTCCCATATTTATTCTAAGAGAAAAGCTCTTCTAAACTGAAAAGACAAAAATACAAGGAATATTCGAAGGAATATTCCTGATGTCCCTTAATGACTATATATTATTAAAAGGGTCGTCCAGTCTCTAGTTTGTTTCAGGGTTGTCTCCTTCAGGGCGTCGATTTAAGGAGGCCTCATCAATCGTCTTACTCGTTGTCGGTCGTGGTTGGTCAAATTTGGACCCGTACATTCAATACTCAGCCATCATTAATGTTTTTTTTTTCATTCTCTTCATCTTAAAAATCTTCCTCTCTCAAAACACCTCTTAAATCATAACAACTGGCCTGAACCCGATAGAATTAAGAGGCAGGAGCTTGAGATAGTGATGGGGAATGAGCACATATCATTCACTACACCTAAGATTGGTTCATTGATGGATGTGCAGACAAGTAAAGAACCTGACGGACATCGTATCTTCTATTATCTTGTTCAGGACCTCAAGTGTTTTGTGTTCTCTCTTATCTCTCTCCATTTCAAGATCAAACCCATTTAAGTCGTGATTTTGCCATGGACAATCCCTCAAACACGAAAAAAATTAAAGATGATATTCATTTTAATTTTTTGCAGAGAAGCTTTTAACGAAGAAAAATGATTGTCTATTTTGATTCTTAAGGATAATATATTTTTGGGTATTTTTCAGCAGTTTTAATGGGGAAGAAAACAAAGGTTAGTAGGTGTAGGAGATATTGTGATATTTAGGAAGCCAGGCCATTGATTTATTTGAGGTATATTTTTCCGAGCATAAATGATGTGCAGTGAAGAGCTTCAAAGCCTCTAATGGAGATGGAAAAAAAAAAGAGAAACAGAAGGACTTGTGATTTCAGGGGAAAGAAAAGAAAAGAAAGAAAGAAAGGGAAAGGGGATGGGGAGATGGGGTGTCGGGTGGGTTTTTGTGAATTTTTTATTCTTTTTTATTTTTTATCTTTTCTTTTCATTTTTAATTACTCAAGGAAATTGCTTTCACGCATCTAAGTTGTGTGTCACGTCACACATTATTGTCACGTCACACATATTATTATCACATAGACTTGGTCAATGGTCAGAGGTATTTATTGGTACTCATTCCGTCAAGTACAAGTATTTAATTGAGAAACTTATAAATTTATTTATCGGATTAATAAACAGGTACAAGTTTAAGTGGCTCGGAGGCCATTTTTCTTTAAAAAGTATTTCTCAGATACTATATATATTACTACTATTTAGAAGCGGGAGGTAAGGGCATGTTCGTCGTCCTAGCTGCTGTTGAAAAGGGTAATTTTGGGATTCTGTTTAAATTGGACATTTTGGAGAGTTGTGCATAAATGTATGCGTGTCAGAATTTACTTTTTGGGTAACATTTTGCCCTTGGTTTAGCCTTTTATCACTTTAGTTTACCTTTTAGAATTTGTAATATCAACCTCTTTTAAGACCTTTTTGGTAAATCAGTGTTTACCATCCCAACCTCTATCACCATCTTCATCTTCTTTCTTTCTATCCTTATTCTCTGTATGATCTTTCCTTCACTCCAGTAGAAGAATCGTCTTCAACTTCAGGTTGAACTCTTCGTCATCCTGCTTCCGATTTACAGTTAGGTCCCTTTTTTGGATCAAAAGTCGGGGTATTTTTGTCACTCTGCTCAGTTTGTATTTTCTGTAGCAGTCTTTTCAGTTTGCGCGCTCTCCGATACGCGCCTTTTCTATCGACGTGGAAGACAAACCAGTTCTTGCTTCTGCTGCTGTTTCTCCAGATGTGTAACACCTGTATTTGGATGGATATCCGATTAGGGGTCACGCTAATAATATCTGCAACAGCTTCTATTCTGCTTTGGGTTTTCTGGCTTACTGTTCCGTTCCTTTTAGCGTCTCTCCTTACTGGCTGGAACAAGTGAGTACTTCTTGCTTCGTTTTCTACCTCCTCCTTCAGATTTTATATGTTTACTCTCGAACTTTCCTACTATATGCGACTTCGTTGAAAAATTTAGTGTTATCCAAATTACGAAGAAAGAGATCTTTTTCATTCTGTTCTATATTACCCAACTTCATGTTCTAATTGCACAATCGTTTAACTCCATAGCAGTGAAAGTTACAGTTACTATGTCTATGATAACTTGGATGTTGATGAATGGGTTTTTATAACTTATTATTTTAGGCCATAGGAAGAAGATGTGATGGTAGCATGTCGCAGCTTTCTAATGCTTTTTTTTAGGTTATTTGATAACACCGTAACATTAAGACAACTGATTTTGGATTTAAAAATTCAGAGTTTATGCAGATCTTACCTTTTTAGTTACTGAAAAAACATTCTCTTTGTTCCAACTGTTAATATAACCTTGTTTGTCATTATATGTTATGAACCTGTAGTGCTCTAGGTATTTCTAATGTAATTATGTGCAGATGTTTACCTTTTATTGTGTTTTAACTTTTACTTTTGTGTAGTATATATGAAATCTTCTGACACTTTATTACCTTTCCATAGTTATCTTATTAGCTACTCTAATCACATATATTGCTAGGTTGAAGTTGATAAAAATATTTTTTTTTGCTAATTGTCATATGAAATTTTTTAAACTTTGAAGTGCTATTTGGATATTCTTTCCGTCGCAACCAATAAACAAAAGCTGTCTTTAAGTAGATAATAAATTCTATAGAAAAAAAGTTGTTCATTTGCTGAAACTCTCAGTTATTGTGTTTATAAGCACACTTAAATGACTAATTTAAACAAGATTCTACTAGGTTCTTTATTATAACTTGCGTGTATTCATGGCGTTATCAAACCTATTTGTTTTTTTGGAAAGAGCTTATGCCGGGGGTTAGGTGAAAGAGTTTATATTAAAGTAAAAGGTCTGAAAGTTCTTAATCTTACGGAGTTAGGTGAAGATTACATACCATATTTGAAAAGTTTGTATAGGCCACATTCTGCCATAAAGAGCAAGTTTCCACAAATTTGGTCTTTCAAGCACATTTTATAGAAGAATTATGGACCTGTAGTTGCTTCCCACACCCCGGACAAAGTTAACATGGAGTAAGCTTGACCAAACAGAGTTATATATTATAATCCCTATTTTTGAAGGCAGTTGACACGAGTTATCATGCAGTGACATTTTAGGTCACTACAAAGCTGTGACTATTCACTCAATTTCATTCATGACTAAAAGATAAAAAAGCATAACCGTTAATTTATTATGTGAGTTTATCCCTACTCATATATATGCACGTTTGATATGTCGTGAACTGATGCTTCATTGTGTCAAATGCTTTTGTATTTTCTTTGCAGTTTTTGTGTGCACCACTTCCAGTAGTGCTGCCGTATCTGCTCTTACATATCTTACTTTTGCACATTTTTCGCATATGGTTGACACTGGTATTACTTCCATATTCTTTAGTACAAAGGAGATTGGATAATGGGATCACTTTTTTTATGTTGATAGGATGATGGATAAATTATAGCCCAAAAAAGGTAAACAACCAATGAACTTGGTGATATGCAAATAGATTTATGGATTTTAGGGGATACTCTTCCCAACGATTCTTATGACAATAGTAGACATCTCAGAAATTTATTTGTACTTGTGGTTGTTCTGAAGCATCAGTACAAATAAATATTGAGTGCAAATTACTTTTCCCCCCTACACTACTAAAAACTTGATATAATTTATGTGTTTAGGCTTGTGGTAGATATAAGAGAAAAATATATAATGTTACCTTTTATTGTGTTTTAACTTTTACTTTTGTGTAGTATATATGAAATCATCTGAGACTTTATTATCTTTCCATAGTTATCTTATTAGCTACTCTAATCACAGATATTGCTAGGTTGAAGCTGATAAAAACATTTTTTTTTTGCTAATTGTCATATGAAAATTTTTAAACTTTGAAGTGCTATTCGGATATTCTTTCCGTCGTAACCAATAAACAAAAGCTGACTTTAAGTAGATAATAAGTTCTGTAGAAAAAAAGTTGTTCATTTGCTGAAACTCTCAGTTATTGTGTTTACAAGCACACTTAAATGAATAATTTAAACAAGATTCTACTAGGTTCTTTATTATAACTTGTGTGTATTCATGGCATTATCAAACCTATTTGTTTTCTTGGAAAGAGCTTATGCCGGGGGTTAGGTGAAAGAGTTTATATTAAAGTAAAAGGTCTGAAAGCTCTTACTCTTACGGAATTAGGTGAAGATTACGTACCATATTTGAAAAGTTTGTATAGGCCACATTCTGCCATAAAGAGCAAGTTTCCACAAATTTGGTCTTTCAAGCACAATTTATAGAAGAATTATGGACCTGCAGTTGCTTCCCACACCCCGGACAAAGTTAACATGGAGTAAGCTTGACCAAACAGAGTTATATATTATAATCCCTATTTTTGAAGGCAGTTGACACGAGTTATCATGCAGTGACATTTTAGGTCGCTACAAAGCTGTGACTATTCACTCAATTTCATTCATGACTAAAAGATAAAAAAGCATAACCGTTAATTTATTATGTGAGTTTATCCCGACTCATATATATGCACGTTTGATATGTCGTGAACTGATGCTTCATTGTGTCAAATGCTTTTGTATTTTCTTTGCAGTTTTTGTGTGCACCACTTCCAGTAGTATTGTCGTATCTGCTCTTACATATCTTACTTTTGGACATTTTTCGCATCTGGTTGACACTAGTATTACTTCCATATTCTTTAGTAGAAAGGAGATTGGATAATGGGATCACTTTTTCTATGTTGATAGGATGATGGATAAATTATAGCCCAAAAAAGGTAAACAACCAATGAACTTGGTGATATGCAAATAGATTTATGGATTTTAGGGGGTACTCTTCCCAACGATTCTTATGACAATAGTAGACATCTCAGAAATTTATTTGTACTTGTGGTTGTTCTGAAGCATCAGTACAAATAAACATTGAGTGCAAATTACTTTTTCCCCTACACTACTAAAAACTTGATATAATTTATGTGTTTAGGCTTGTGGTAGATATAAGAGAAAAATATATAAAGATGATGAATGTAAAATTAAATAGTACTGTAGGATGGCTGTAAATTTGAGATAGAGAGTCCTGCATGAGATATTTCAGTTCAAGGTAAAAAAATTAGTATTAGTTGTAAAACCTACAAAAATACCAATCTAAATATTTTTTCCTGATAAGTAATGGCAGAGTAGTATTATATCGGAAAAATCAGCATAAAGCAAGTGCTGGTTGGTATGAACAACCCAAGTACAATCAATGCAGATTACTAATAAATTCTATCATGACCTCTATGTCATTAATGTTGATTCTAGCATGTTACACCAACAAAGGAGCAAATAGAGATTCTTTCGCTTATGGCTAACCATATATTCCTCTTTGTCTAAAAAAAAATTGTCCGGTCTTTTCCTCCATATCATGACCCACCAAATTGTTATCGCTACAGTGGACCAAAGTGGTGCTGGTCTATGTTGATCAGCCCTAATTTGTGCCTCTCTTGAAGAAGGGAAACATATTCTCTGGGAAGCACTATTTCATGCCTAGTAAGTTGAAGATAAAAACCCACAGCTGCCTAGAAACCTTGCAACAAATAAAAACGCGATTGTTGACTTCCTACTGGTCACGACAAAGAGGGCACATGTGATTTAATTGTAAACCCCTTCTTTGAATATTTCTTTGCGAAAAGCAAGCCTTTCTAGAAGCTAACCGAACAAAATACTTTACCTTGTACGGAGCTTTGCACTTTTAAATATTCTTTCATAGTTATTTGGAGTTTGTCTTACTTGTGGAGCCAAAAGTTATGTAGTAGTTTTTGAATGTAAATTTGCCACTTTGTTGTCTTTGGTGCAATTAACTGTCGGATGATATGCTTGGAAAAACTAAATGATTCTTATGCTCCTCTACGAGAGGAAAATCCATGAAAAGTAGAAGTCATTGTTAAAGGAATATAAATAATTTGAATGGACAATTTACTGTCAATGTCCAAGTTTTATGCAATAATGATTCTAAAATTAGATTGACTTTATTTGAATGTTTTTATAGGATTATTGATAAATATTTGTTGAAATTTCGAAGGCAAATTGACCCATCCTTTCCTTCTCAATATTTTTCCCTTTATTTTCAAGATATCTTGGCTTGAAATTAATCTTATAAAGCCTAATACTACGTTCCTAAAAGCTCTATGATGTCGATGTTTTGCAGTAATACTTCTACGCTCAACTTTTCTGATTGCCTTCATATTCCCTATGAATAAATTCCTGATCGGTGAATTATGGCTGAAATTATTTTTTTGGCTTTGTAGAATTGCTGACGTTTCTCCTACGTTTAGTACAATTAACATAGTTGCAGAAGAAGTTCAGCACTGTAAAGGTAACCAACTATCTTATTTTCGTATATTTGTGCACGTTGGGTCATATTAATGCGTTCACTGTTGCTCATTTCCGCTGTACTGCCAATGGTTGCTGATGTCCACTATTTTCTTCTGTACAATTACTTTGTTTATACCTTGTTTGTAAACTGACTTATGTGCGTAATAAAAACTTTGTCTTGACATATTCGCTCTTTAGTTTTTGATGTCGTATCACGGCGTCCACTTTCTTTTATTTCACTTCGGGTCATGTTTTAGTTAGATTTTTACCGCTTAGTTAGCGAAGCTATACCTTTGGAAAAGTTCCTTTGCGCGGATGTTACACTATGAAGAAATTATTTTTACAAATAATTATAATTGTTCCCCTTATAGGTACAAAAAGTTGATGTCCAGAGGTACTTCACTTGACTCCAATGTTACTTGTGTGAAAACTAATAGCCAAAACGTACTTCTTTTTCGAAAACATACTATAACATTATGAATCGCTTCCCATATTGTCTTCCTTGGGGTAACTATATCTGTTCAAAGATAGCCTCAATTTTGTTACTTCGTGCCCTGTGATATGCATTTCGGTGATAAAAATTAATACAATTCTAAAAGGCTATGACAATTTGCGCAGTATCATTTAAGAGTAGATACTACGATTCTGATGGATCATACAAAAAAAAACAAGTGACCTCTATCAGAAACGGATAGGAATGTCAACAGGCGCGAAAAATACAAAACGATGTCCGCAGAGAAAAAGCAGAAGTTGCTACTACAACGTCGACTTAAATACCAAGAGTCAAAGATACGTGCACCTGCTGAGAATATAACTGTGGATTGCATGAATGGAATAATGGATCCACCTGAATGCTCTTTAACCACTTCTTACATTCTGCATTCAGGTTAGAAGATACGGTTCTCCCATCGCTTTCACCTTATCTCGCACTTTAAATAGTCAACTTCATCTACGCTTTCTCTTCGATGTAGATTTTACTACGTCTGAGGATCATCCTCCGCCTTCTGCTTCGGGTAATGAAAGAGATATAGTGCAACCACTTTCTATCTATGAAAAAGGTGAGTATGCCGCCTTCTATGCTTACTTTTATAGTACTTGTCATCATTTGGTGCCATCTAAGGACCACTTAATTTGGTCTTAGGTTCAACGTCAGCAGCACCCAGTGATCTACGTAACAAAGACTCCGAAATAGTTACATGTAGAGGTTCGTTTGGCTTTCTGTCTGCTGAAAAAATAATTGTTTCCTTTCGTTCATCTTAATTTTAATCGTCTATTTCCAACATATAGGTCGTGCACCAACTACAAAGTTTGCTCCAATTACCGGTCGACTGCGTTCAAACTATGTTCCGCTGAAGAAAATTCCAATCTGCAAATTTTGCGCAGCAAAGAGATTTGAATATGAACCGCCTGCATTTTGCTGTGGTAGTGGAACAATAAAGTTAACTTCTCATCAAATGCCTACCAAGCTGCGAAATTTATTTCTTGGAAATAATGTGGAGTCTAAACACTTCCGAACATACATTAGAACGTATAATAACCTTTTTGCGTTCAGCTCACTTGGTGTAAAGTATGACAAAGATTTAGCAAAGAGAAACTTTGGTATCTACACATTTAGAGTTCAAGGGAAGATATACCATTGGATAAATAATTTGCACCCTACAGATGACAAACCAAGAAATATACAGTTATACTTTTATGATAATTGCAATGAGCTAGCACATAGGATGGCATGTTCCGACAGAATTCACGAATCAGTAGTGAAAGAATTGATGTATATATTATCAATAAACCCATATTCTGTGTTTTTACGATCTTTGGTACATGTATCGAACCTTCAAGATTTCCACATAGCCCTCAAATGCGACTTAAATTTGGACCAGAGAGTATATAATTTGCCGACTTCATCTGAAATTGCAGCAATATGGACCGAGGAAAATGATGGCGTAGCCTTGAATGCACCACATATTCAAATTTACCCTCGCACTGATCGAACACAAATAGTGAATTACTATTATGGCTGTTATGATGCATTGCAATATCCGCTATTGTTTCCACTAGGGCAAAGTGGTTGGCATTGTGGTATTAAGAAGCTCCCAGTAAATTGTCTTGCGTACTTAAGAACTGTGCATCACGAAGAGGTACCAAATATAAGAAATGTTACGTCACTTGACGGATATCTTGAAATGGAAGCTGAAATTCTTAAAAAGGGACAGCGATGAAGAGATACTGTTTCTGTTCGTGAGTATTATTGTTACAAATTACAAATGAGAAATGATGATGGAGATGAAATATTGCATACTGGGAGAATATTTCAGCAGTATTCAGTTGATGAATACATTAAACTTNTTTCAGTAGTATTCAGTTGATGAATACATTAAACTTGAAACACAAAGGTTGGATTTCGCAGCGTTCAATCAAGATTTATTTAGGACGGCTATGCTAGAAGGACTTCTTGACATCTTGCGATTGGGTGAACCCGATGCTTCTAATATCGGGAAACAAAATTTCCTTCCAAGCTACTTTATTGGAGGGCCTCGGGATATGCGACAACGGTACATGGATGCTATTGCGCTCGTGCAACATTTCGGTAAACCTGATTTATTTATAACTATGACATGTAATCCCTCTTGGACAGAGATAAAGGAACATTTAATTCCAACTGATGAGTCGCATAATAGGCCTGATTTGATCAGCAGAGTATTCAGAGCGAAAATAGAAGAATTCAAAAAGGATATACTAAAGCGAAATATCTTTGGAAAGGTAGCAACTTTTATGTACACTGTAGAGTTCCAAAAGCGAGGTTTACCACATGCTCATTTTCTTATAATATTAACTAATGAATACAAATTACTTACTCCAGCGGCTTACGATAATATTATTAGTGCTGAAATACCTGATGAGAATGCAGAACCAGATTTACATTTGCTTGTTCTTAAACACATGATGCATGGTCCATGCGGTAATCTAAACCCAACAAATTCCTGTATGAATAAGAAAGGTTACTGTAAATTCAAGTATCCAAAAAGTTTTGCGGACCAGACATCAAAAGGAATAGAATATTACCAAATTATAGAAGACGCAATACAGGGTTGGTGGTAAAAATAAGAGAACAATACTTGGATAACTCATGGGTTGTTCCATATAATCCTTTTTTGCTAGGAAAATTTGACTGCCATCTAAATGTTGAAATATGCTCTGATATTAAAGTCGTTAAGTATCTTTATAAGTATATATGTAAAGGACATGACAAGATTGCATTTTTGGTACATAATAACGACACAAATGCAGAAATAGATGAAATAAAGGAATATCAGTCTGCTAGATGGGTGTCGCCTCCCGAGGCTATGTGCACTTGTATGGTTTCTCGATTAGTGAAATGTTACCGACCGTATGCCCTCTTCAACTTCATCTTAAGGGGCAACATTTTGTTTCATTCAAAAGCAACGCAAATGTAGATACACTTGTAAATAATCCGCTGATTAAGCAGATAATGTTACCACAATTTTTCGAAATGAATAGAACAAACGCTGAGGCTATGGAGCTCAATCTATTATACCGGGAATTCCCTGAACATTTTGTTTGGTCTTCAACAGAGAAGATGTGGACACCTCGGAAACAACGACATGCTATTGGTCGTGTTGTAACATGTCATCCAACGGAAGGTGAGCGATATTATCTTAGAATGCTATTAATGAATATTAGAGGACCAAAATCATATAAGGATTTACTAACTGTTAATGGAGAACGTTACAGCACCTTTAGAGAATCAGTGGAAAAATGGGGATTGCTACAAAGTGACAATAGTTTGCTTGAATGCCTGTCAGAAGCAACAAGTTACCAGATGCCATACAGTTTGAGACGTTTATTTGCTACATTACTGATTTACTGTAATCCTACGAATCCAAGACAACTCTGGGAACAATTTGAACAACATATGTCCGAGGATTATACGTTGGTATCCAATATTAACAAAAAAAATATTCTATACCAAGTTTTGAACCATATTAACGACATATTACACTCTATGGGTGGTGACATAAATGAATACCACCTCATTATTGAAACAATAAGGCCTTCAGTAGCGGCAAAAGAGGTAAAGGAGGTACACTTTGAAAGGACCATGACGTTTACTAATGAGGATATACTATTACACAAAATGTTGAATAAAGATCAACTTAAAGCATACAATATAATTACAGAGAGAATTTTTTCAAACAAAGCTAGAACATTCTTCATTGACGGACCTGGAGGAATAGGGAAAACCTTTTCATATCGTGCATTGTTGGCAACTGTACGATCTAAAGGGTATATAGCATTGGCAACTGCCACTTCCGGTGTAGCTGCATATATACTCCCTGGTGGACGAACTGCACATTCACGTTTTAAAATACCAATAAATACTGACGACAATGTGAGCTGCAACATCAGCAAACAAACCTCACTTGCCTGTTTGATTCAAGATGCAAAATTAATTATATGGGATGAAGTATCTATGGAGAAAAAAAGAATGATTGAACTCCTTGATTTACTTTTGAAGGACTTAATGGATTCAACGATACTATTTGGTGGAAAAGTTGTAGTTCTTGGAGGTGACTTCAGGCAGACATTGCCGGTAGTTCGGAACGGAAAAAAGGAAGATTTCATTAATGAAAGTTTACTATATTCTCATATTTGGGAAGAACTTGAAAGGCTGCGACTATTCGAAAATATGAGAGCGAAAGATGATCCTTCATTCTGTAATTATTTGTTGCGAATAGGAAACGGAGAAGAAAAAGTAAACTCAACAAACAAGATTGAAATTCCAACTTCTTTGATCATTCCTTATACAACTGAAAAGGAATCTGATAACTTATCCAGATGTGCATATATTTTTTTTCCTCCTCACGCTACACAAGTTCCCGCGTTATCTTAACAACTAAGAATGATTTTGTCGACGATATCAATGACATGCTTGTTGCTCGTTTCCCAGAAGAATCAAAAACTTTTATTGGTATTGATGAAACTACTGAACATCATGATCAATCACAATTTGAGGATCTGTTGCACAGTTTAAATCCACCTGGTCTGCCTCCTTACAAATTGACATTGAAACAAAATTGTCCAATTATATTATTACGCAATTTATATCCGTGTGATGGTTTATGCAATGGAACACGTTTGACTTGCTGTGATTTTAAGTCGCATGTTATTAGCGCCAATATTTCAGTTGGTCACTTTAAGAATACACATGTGTTTATCCCCAGAATACCACTATTATCATCCCAAGATGAAAAAATGCCTATTCCGTTTAAAAGGACACAATTTCCTGTAAGACTTTGCTTTGCAATGACTATAAATAAAGCGCAAGGTCAGACATTAGATTTTGTTGGAGTTTATTTGCGAGAACTTGTGTTTTCGTACGGTCAACTTTATGTGGCATTGTCCAGAGCAAAGAGTTCGAACTGCGTGAAAGTGCTAATCCGACCGACTATACCAGGTAGCGCGGACGATCACTACACAGATAACATTGTTTACAAAGAAATCATCCAAAAAGCTACTTTATAGGGATATTCTGCCAAGAACAGATAGTATCCTAACTAAAAAAAATGAAATAGCTGACGAAGGATACTTATGATGTGCAATCTGGTCGGTAGCAATCAACTTGTATTCGCTCAAGCATTGAAAACTACAGCTGATGCTCTATGCGCACATGACTGCTCCAACAAAGATGAATCAATAGAAGGCTGTAGCATGCGCTTAGATGATCGTAGAGAGGTATTTTTGCATGAAAATGTAGTGCCAGGAAAAACAATTCGTTAGATTCTACAAAGTTATTAGGTATACAAGGGCAAGCTAATTAGCCGTGACTGATCTTTTTAACTAATAATGCAGACTTCGTGTGCTAATTGTCACTGCATATAATTTGTTAAATGGAAAATTTTAATCCGTCTAATCAGGTCATCCATTTTATTATCTATATGTACCTGTATTTTTATCTTTTAGTATATACTGATGATGTCCTTGTTCCCCCCCCCCTATGTAGAGTCTACATAATACATGGAGCACAGATTAACCATTGATAGGATTACTCCACAAACAAAAGAGTGGACATCAAAGGTACAACTCATTGAGACACCGCGGCCAAGGAAAAGTAAAGATGGAAAGACGCGATTCCAGATTGCTGTTGTCCGAGATGAAAGAGTAATCTTCTAACTACCGTGTCACTTCTTATTCTACTGGTTGAAATATAATTGCAATCGCCAGTATTCTTTAATTGAAAGAAAAGAAACAGATCCATCTACTTAGGTAACCACAAGTTTAATCGTTTCTGTCACACTTGCTATGTGAGGAACTAAATGTTTGAGGTGCTCTATGAAAGTAGATATTCCACATTTACCATTCATGTTTGTCTGATATTAGTTTTTTAGATAAAAATTGTGGTACCAAACTTTGAAATTTCTTCTTTGGATTACATATTTGTGCCTTTATAGTACTTTATTTGTCCAGAATGATGTATTTGCAGTACACTTTGCAGTCGTCGCATTTGAAATTTGCTTAAACTTCTTACATGTTAAGAAATTAAAGGGCAAGAATTCAGAAGGC